TTGCTAGACACACGTGACAGTTTCTGTGTCTAGAGCTCATGTGACGAGGAGGTCGAGTGAGGCTCAAGGCCAGACACCTGGTCCAGCTGACACCCCGTTCTTGCCAATTTTGACCCGATACTCCCTTTCTGTAGAACCTCCCTTCTGGGCCGCTTGGCAAGGTCAGGTCTTATCTACTCCAGTGCCTCTAGCCACGTTCCACACCAGAGAACTTACTGCCACATCTGCACTGTAGCACTGTCGTCCCTTTGTTCATCAATTTGCTGGAACTGACACCAGTAACGCCTCCATTGTGAGACTTGTTGTTACTGTTTTGGGCATACGGAATACGCCATGGGGAGCTTGCCAGGCTCTGCCGTGCGGGCGGGATACTCTCGGTAGCTTGCCGGGTTGTCTGAGAGGGATGAAGGAATCGAACCCCATCTGGCCGCTTGCAAGACAAACACCCTAACCCGCTGTGCTATCGCTCCAGCCCACTCTAACAGGCTTTGAGTCACCTGCTTGTAACTCCCTAATTTCACTTCCTTTCCAACTACCTCACAGGCGCTAGGAAACCACGGACAAGATTTTCTTGTGGGCAATCGGCTGAGCTGGGCGGATGTACAGCTCCTTGAAGTCATCTTAATGGCTGAAGAGTGCAAAGCCAGTGTTCTCGCGGGCTTCCCTCTGTTACAGGTAATAGTTCCCAAGAGCTGCAGGGTGGACGGATTTGTGTCCTTTGTGTATTCTGTCATTTGATCATTCATGATCATTTAGGAGCTTACTGGCTTCGCTATGCCAAGGCCTGTGCTGAAGAGCCAGAAGCCCTCAAGGGAAGCAAGTTGGAGGGGAAAAGCTTAGATATAAACGGTATTCACTCTATCACGGTGACTGTATCACTGTCATCCCGTTGTTCATCGATTTACTCAAGTGGGCGCCAGTAACGTCTCCGTTGGTCCCAGCCCTGAGATTTTAGCAACCTCTCCTTACTCGTCTTTCCCAATGCTGCCTTATTGGAGGCTCTTTCAGGGTCAGAGGAACGAGACCCGTTATTGTTACTGTTTTTTTGGCATATTGAATACATCATGGGTAGCTTGCCAGGCTCTGTCGTGCGGGCAGGATACTCTCAGTAGCTTGCTGGGCTCTCCATTCAATAAATGGTATTGAAGAAGAAAATGATATAGGGAAGCAAATGAAGGCCAGTTAGGCCCAGTGGTTCTCAGGGGCTATTCTTGGGTCGTGCTGAGCAGTGGCTCCTGGCAGTGCTCAGAGCACCACATCTGGTGCTGGGAACTGAATCGGGGTTGGCTGCAGGCAAGGCAAGTTCCTCAATCCTTGTACTATCTCCCTGACCCATCCTTGACCCTTTTAAAATTATATTGCTCTTCTGTTTGTTATATCTATTTTTGAAATACTCAGAACCATATATTTATCCACTGATTTTTCTTCTAGAATAACTTAGTGAAAATAATAGATTCAGTGTCTGAGGGGCCACAGAGTTAATACAGGACACAGCCTTGCATACAGTCGATATGGGTTAGATCTCCAGCACCCAAGATGGTCTCCCAAGCACCACCAGGAGTGATCCCTGAGTGCAGAGCCAGGATTAAGCCCTGAGCACCATCAGGTGTTACCACTCCTTCCTAAAAACAAACAAACAAACAAAAATAAAAACCCAAGAAATCAGTATTTGAGAAATATTGACATAAATGATACAGACACAGCTTTATATAGCTATGATTATATCAAAGATTTATATATAATCAAAGATTATATATAAAAAACATGCTTATCAGGTAAATGAGGGCTTCTCTTCATGAGTTATGGACCAGAATATTACGCAATATTTGTTTTATAATGTTGCCATACTCATTTTATGGTTGTAGGTATTTCCATACTTAATATTGTATCATTAAAATACAAATATTAAGAAAAGTATCACTTGGTTCCATCCTATATACAATGAGGGGGATCTCAGGCAGTGTTCGGACCCCGTCCAACCACTCCATGACTCTCGGCCAAACAGGTGTATGGTTCAATATAAGGGACCGAAAATATGGCGCAGCTCAGATCCTGCAGTGTGAGGGCGGATGTGGGCCCCTGTTTTAGTGCTCATTAGGCCTCAAAGGCCTTATCTGGTGGTACTCAGAGGATCATGTGGTGCCAGGGATCAAACTGAGATTGACCATATGCTAGGCATGTACCTTATCCCCTGTACTATATTTCCAGTTCTGCTGTATACATTTTCATGGTTCTTGAAAAACTTGCTTTCTACAAGGGAAATTGTCACATGATTTATGACAATCTCACTTCATCTAATATCAACAGGGAATATAAATTTCACTTACTGGTTTTTTTTTTTTTGGTGGTGGTGGTGGTGGTGTTTGATCTCCTAAAACGAAGGGATTGACCCCCTTATGCATGCAAAGTATGTGCCTTACCAATGAGCTACACCCCCAGCTTAAGACTATAAATTTTAGAAACATCTTTATATGTAAAAGAGAATGAATATATTTAACTTCTATTTTTCTACAGTCTCTCTGAATTGCATAGTTTCTGTACTCTCAAATGAATTGCATACTTTTGCCATTTCAGGAATTCAAGGCAAGAATTAGCTGCGTTCCAACAATTAATAAATTTCTCCAGGCTGGAAGCCAGAGGAAGCCTCCACTAGATGAAAAATCCATTGAGACAGTGAAGAATATATTCAAATTTGAACGTGGGATGTTTCTGAAAAACATGGCTACTATCATGGCTGAATACTGATCAACGAAGAAGTCTAAAGAACTTGGTAGATATTTCACTTTACATTTTTAGCACGACCCAGAAAGATATAAGGTCATTTTAATGAGGTAATAAGAATCATATGGAAATAAACTGCCTAACACATATGGAAGTCTGATAACCTTCTGCTTTTCATAAAATGGTAAAACACTATTTCCAATCATCTAAATAATATGACCTCTCTTCTGGTCATAGCACAGCGGGTAGGGCATCTGCCTTGCACGCAGCCAACATGGCCGACCCGAGTTCGATTCCTCCGCCCCTCTCGGAGAGCCCGGCAAGCTACCGAGAGTATTCGATATGCCAGACACAGTAACAACAAAGTCTCCAATGGAGACGTTACTGGGCCCGCTCGAGCAAATCGACGATCAACGGGAGGGCCTTTCTTTCTTTCTATTGAAAAAGAGCCAAATCATAAGAACTCAGTATGTCAAGGATTTCTTTAAAACTTAACCACCGGGGGCTGGAGCAATAGCACAGCGGGGAGGGCGTTTGCCTTGCACGCGGCTGACCCGGGTTTGATTCCCAGCATCCCATATGGTCCCCCGAGCACCACCAGGAGTGATTCCTGAGTGCAGAGCCAAGAGTAACCCCTGAGCATAGCCGAGTGTGACCCCAAAGCAAAAAAATAAATAAATAAAAATAAATAGATAAAACTTAACCACCAGCGACTGGAGCAACAGTACAGCAGGTGGGCTGCCTGCCTTTCACACAGCAAAGCACCTTCAATCCAGGGATCCCATATGTCACCTGAGCACTGCCAGGAGAGATCTCTGAATATAGAGCCAGGAACAAGCCCTGAGCATCTCCATGTGTGACCCAAATTCCGCCCCCTTGCCCCCCCAAAAAAAATCAACCACTCCCCTAAAGCCTCCCCCCAACAAAAAAATACCCAAACCACAGATATCATCATTACACACCGTTACAACCTTTGGGTGAAAGTCCAAGATACTGAGAGATGGAGAAGCCCAGGCAGTACCAAGACAGGCTATAAAGCAGCCAGGAGAAGCTAGGACTAGGTTCAGTTCCAGGATTCCTGGAATTGAGCACAGATACCTGGAATTGAGTCATGATTTCCCCAGAGTGAGATAGCCATGATGAGGTCAACTAAGGGTTATCAACCCTTAGTTGTATAAGGGAAGCCCCCCCTATACAACCCTTACGTAACTATTATGCAACCCTTACGTAACTCCAACTTATAACCAATCAGTTAAGTACAAGTAGTGGAAAGCCCCTCAGACTGAGGCCAAAAGGGTGGTCCTTGGAAAGTCTCTGTTATATAACGTTATGCTATAAAAGCCCCTCACTTTTGAGACTTGGGGCCGCTCCTTCTCAGACGAGGGCCCTTGCTCCAGCTAGCCAATAAAGACCCTTTGCTTACTGCATCACAACTTGCCTTTGTGTGATTCTTCTGGGGAGATCTCAACCCGGTTTAACAATACAATATTGTTTCAAATGAGTTTTTGCGGCTGACCTCGGTTCAATTCCCAGCATCCCATATGGTCCTCTGAGCATCACCAGGAATAATTCCTGAGTGCAGAGCCAGGAGTAACCCTTTGCACCGCCAGGTGTGACACAAAACTCAAAAAAAAAAAAAACATTAATTTCAGAATAATAACTTTTGAGAGAGAGAGAGAAGAGTGTGTGAGCAAGAGTTCTTATTTAAATAATTCTTCTCACTACTTCCATGAACAAGTTAAATTTTTTTTTTATTTTTATTAGTGAGACACCATGAGGTAAAGTTGTAGACCTACATATTTTGTGCTTGGGTTTCAATTATACAATGATCAAATACCCATCCCTCCACAGGTGCCCATTTCCCACCACCACGGATCCCAGTATCCCTCCCACCCCCCATCCCACCCTGCCTCTGTGGCAGGGAATTCCCTTTTGTTCTCTCTCTCTCTTATTGGGTGTTGTGGTTTGCAAAACAGGCATTGAGTGGCAATCATGTTTGGTCTATAGTCTGCTTTCAGCATGCTTCTCCCATCCTGGGAGGATCCTCCCAACACCCTTTATTTGGTGCTCCCTTCTCTATCTGAGCTGCCTTTTTACCCCTAGAGTGTGTGGCTGGCCTCCAAGCCATGGAGTAAAATTCCTGGTACTAATCTCGGCCACTCTTGGGTGTTATTCTCCTATTTGAACAAGTTAAATTTTAAGCACACATTGAGCACACAGAAAAGACACGAAAATGAAGCAAAAACATTTAAAGCAGAATGTCTTTTATTTGAATAATGAATATATTATAAGTTTACAGAGTGCTCAGAGATTGGGATATTTTTCAAGGAAAAATACAGGCATCAATACAGTTAAAATATAAAAGACATACTTTCTAAAATAACACAAATGACAACTAAATACACTTACATTCTCTGAATTCCACTTAGCGTATTCCATTATCTCATGAGCCGTACATAGTTTAATTCAAACTTATTGAATTTCCTTTAAAAAAAAGAATGCCATATACAGAAAACTAAACAAAGCAGATCAAAGATATCACAATTTGTTAGAGCTTAGTAAAAACAGTGCCTGACAATTAGAGTGCAATGGTTAAAAGTTTTTGTTTAAAAAGCCCTAAAGCAGTTTATTTTAGAGATGATTGTTTCTTCTGTTTCTAACAGAATACTGAAAACTTCTATTTTATAATATAGCTTCTAAATAAGAAGAGCAGGTTTTCGTTTTCCATTCCCCTTGACTTCTCAGACCAGCAGTAGGACAAGTCTCAGAATCATCATGAGGCTGGGTAAAGTAAAAGGGAAAGGGGGAGTCATTCACACGTGGCAGAAGACGGGAAGGACCCCCTCCCCACGACCTGCCATTCAACATTTCTCCCCTATTTCAATTCCCTGCAACAGTGACGGTTTCACTGTCTGTAATCCAAATTCCCAGATATGATGGAACCAGCCACTTCACAGTGCTCACGGAAAGGACAAGGACACGCAGGACTTGCTATTCAGCAAATCTGACCTAAAGCTTTATGATTAAAAAGGTTTATAAGGAAACATGAAAACTTCCCAAAATAGGTCCAAAGAGAAATTTGGAGGAACGGAGGATGGTAATAATATCACTATCTCGGCGACATCCCATTAACCGGGATCTTGTTTTCCTCATCTGTGAATAAACCCTACTTCTGAGTCTACCACCAAGAATCATTTTTAGAATCAAGCTAAAACTGGAAAGCAGCTCTTTCTAATCATAGCTCTCTCCCTAACCCACAGCCATACTAGAAAATTCTACCCAAGAGTTGAAAGAAAATTGATGATCGCAAAGAGGCTTAGGGACAAACACCCATGTTTTATTCTACCTTAACTCTTTTTCTTTCTTTCTTTCTTTTTTTTTTTTTTTTTTTTTTGCTTTTTGGGTCACACCTGGCGATGCACAGGGGTTACTCCTGGCTCTTCACTCAGGAATTACTCCTGGCAGTGCTCAGGGGACCATATGGGATGCTGGGAATTGAACCCAGGTCAGCCACATGCAAGGCAAACGCCCTACCCACTGTGCTATCACTCCAGCCCCATTCTACCTTAACTCTTTAATACACTTTTAAAGAATACTGAGATCCCTCTTTAGGAGGTTTTTGTTTTGTTTTTTTTTTTCCATCTTGTTTTAAATCTGTTTTGTACCCTCTAAGGTTTTAAATGCCACAAAAAAGTTTTTGAAAACACTCTTGCTTGATACTCCATTAAGTGGAGAAAACATTTTACAAAGCATTTACTTAAGGTGAACTTTAGACTGTTTCTAGTTCTTCAGGTACAAATGAAGTTAAAATAAACATAACATTTTATATGCATCAAATTGTATCTTTTGGGGGCTGGAGAGATAGCACAGTGGGGAGGGCGTTGGCCTTGCACGTGGCCGACCTGGGTTCGATTCCCAGCATCCCATAGGGTCCCCCGAGCACCACCAGGAGTAATTCCTGAGTGCATGAGCCAGGAATAACCCCTGTACATCGCCAGGTATGACCCAAAAAGCAAAAAAAATAATAATAATAATTTTAAAAAATGACCTTGCCCTTTTAAAGTGGACCTTTTGAATTTCAAAATGACAGAGGCAAGTTTCTATCCAAAGGGGTGTTCTTACCTTAAACCTGCAACCAGTCCAGCTGGCATTATTTTCTTGGATCTCTTAAACCTCACGCCCATGATGGTGGTGAGGAAGAAAGCTGTAACTGAAAACCAGACCGTGGCATGAACCAGAGTTTCAAACACGTCATCAAGGCTTGCTCGTGAAACACAGGCAGATGTTATTTCACTGTCAATTTTTTCTTTCTTCGAACAAACGGGGGCTCCCAAGCAGCCCTCAGGAGTCCCAGGGGCCTCTCAGAGATACTCAGATTCAGGTGTCCTTAATGCTGCCCATCTGCAATGGACTCCCCCAACCCACCCGCGCCTGGTACTCAGGGAGCTATGAGGTGCCGGGGATTGAACTTGGGGCCTGTAACCTGACTCTCGATCCATCTTCCTGTCCCCCACTCTGGCTTCCAAATATACTAATTATGATGTGTAAGCACTGATTGTGTTTCTTTGGGAATTTTATATATTCTAAGCGATAGCACAGCAGTAGGGTGTTTTGCCTTGCCCGCAGCAAGCTTGGCCGAGCCGGGTTCGATTCCTCCGCCCCTCTCGGAGAGCCCGGCAAGCTACCGAGAGTATCTCGCCCGCACGGCAGAGCATGGCAAGCTCCCCGTGACGTATTCGATATGCCAGACACAGTAACAACAAGTCTCAAAATGAAGAC